ATCAATAATATAAACAGAAATAGATGTATTATTGATAACGTTGAGTTTGAACATTCCTTCATAAATATAACCCTTCCCAACAAAAATCCCACCCTTAGACAGGACAAATTTGTCCGACTCAAATACTAAAACCATGTTTATTAAACAGGCTTCCAGATACAAGATTTTTCCTGATATCAGGTACATGATAAACATCATTAAGACTTAAGACTTTTCCAGATGTGAACTCTAAATTCACCGTCCCTTTGCCTTTGGTAGCAGTAGTTGAAGAGTTTCCCATGTAAAGAATTGTTCCATTACTTACTTGTTCATAAGTAGTGAAATGGCTTTTGTCATTACAAACATGCCTTGCTGCTCTTGAGTCAATCCACCAGTCACCAGCATCTTCGAGCATGTTCACCTCAGATACAACAGCCACAAACTTGTTCTTGCCATTTGATGCTTCTTGCTTCTTCTTGTATGACCGGCATTCATTTTTGAAGTGTCCTGGCTTGTCACAATGCCAGCAAGCGCCTTTCGGCTTCCTAGCATCTTTCTCAGATTGGGAGTCGCGTTTACAGTTCTTTCTGTTGAACCTCTTGCCATCATCCACCATGTGAATCTTGGAAGTCTGAACCAATTGCTTTTCTTTACTTTCAATAAATCTTGACTCTTTCTCAACTTGGAGGTGTTGAGCTAATTCCTCTAAAGTTTGATCTTCCTTTTTGTATTTCAGAATTTTCGTAAAATCCTTCCAAGAAGATGACAGTTTGTCTATTATAGACGAAACTATAATAGATTCATCCATGTTCATATTTTTTTGTCAAAACTGACTCAGACTATGTTGAATCTCATGGAATTGTTCCATAATGGGCTTTGTAGCAATCATAGTAAAACACATAAAATTACTAACAAGAAATTTCTTACTGGTGGCATCCTCAGTGAGGTACTTTGACTGTAATATGTCCCAGAGATGCTTTGCCATTTTCAGATGTTGATACACATCGAATAGAGATTCTGACAGCGCATTTAGAATGTGTTATCGGCAAATGTAGTCGTCATTCTCCCATTTGGTCCTGGTACCGGTTTGCTCCATACTCTCGTCTTCTTGCTTCACCAGATAGGGGGTAGTTAGCACATAGACCACTTTGAGAGTGGTGAGAAAAAAATGCATCTTCTTTTGCCAACATCGAAATTGGTCAAACTTCATGAAATCTTGAGTCATTTTCTGAATAGACATCACCATATCTAAATATTGTCTTTAGATTGTTGGAACCATTCGTCTTGAATTCTTTAGTTAGTGGTCTTCGGTTCTTTAAAACTTGGCAATGAACTTGTCTATGTAAAACAGAAATTAGGTGCTTCAAGTTGCGTTACTTAGTCGCTTTCCTAAAGACAATGTTTGCACCCACCAAAAGGTGTGCAGGGGGTCACAGTAATTTCGCCTCCAGGATACAATGAAGCTTGATCTAAAAATCAAGTCTACCGGCGTCTGCACTAACGACATTCGATCAGAATACTCTTGATATAATCAAGAAAACCAAGACACTAATAATCAAGTCTGCAGAATTTGATTACCAATAAGAAAAATAGAAATTTGCTTAAGAAACTCTTGATTGACAACTCTAAAGAGAGAGAGAATACAAGAATGCTTTTCAGGATTTTGGATAGATTGAAATGGCTGAATTCATAGCCTATTTATATGCCTTGATGCATCTGATTGAATGGTCATGTCTTTTGATCGCATCCGATCAGATCTGACCGTTGGATTGACGATCTATGGTGCAGATCATTCTCACACTGAATAGCTGCCTTGACTGATCACAACTGATCACGATCGGGTTCCATCTCATCTGTACGATCGCGTGCATCTCCAATCAACGACTATGATCAAACCACTCCAGATCGGACACGCAACCGTTCGATTAGTTGGTTGACCCATCGCCAACGGACGCCACATCACTGCCACGTGGAGCTGACTGTATTCCATGTCACCCATGCCACGTTGGATCCACGTCATCACTCCAACCTATCCGATGCAAATAGGAAAGTTTCCTCACAGCGCCGATGTGTCCGTGCAAAGTGCACCATCAAACGCCACACGGCCCACTATCACTACAAGAATTCACACATTTGCCGACCACTTTTGCCGACCAAAAAAATTTTGGTCGCAAAAAAATGACATTTGGCGACCAAATATTAATTAGTCGCGAATGATCATTATTTTTGGCGACCAAATATTATTGGTCGCAGAAGGTTATATTTTGGCGACTAAAAAATGAGTTGGTCGCAGAAAGTGGTATGCTTTTGCCGACCAACTCCAAACTTGGTCGCGGAAGGTCACATATTTTTTGGCGACCAAAAATTTGATCGCCAAAAACTTATTTTCAGCAACCAAAAAAAATTAGTCGCCAAATTAGTACATTTAGCGACTAATATTTTAGTCACCGTTGATTGAGATTTGGCGACTAAAAAAATTTGTCGGCAAAGATACCTTTTCTGCGACTAATATGGTCTTTGGTCGCAAAAAATTTGGGAGGGAAATTTGAAACGTGGAGGTGGGAATTGAAAGCCGTGGCTCCCAAGATCAAAAAATAAAAAAAATCAAAAGCCCCGACTCTCAAGATCAATCTATAGCCAATGGTTCTAATCATAAAGGAAGAACAAAGCACGATCAATCTATAGCCAATGGTTCTAATCATAAAGGAAGAATAAAGCACGCCATTAGTGGCATGGGTTAGTGAGAGAAGCTCTTCCATTCTTTGGAATTCCTAAAATTCTACGGTTTCAATAGCTCATTGATGTCGATGGAGTCTCCATAGTTTACCAAAGGGGTTTCGTCTAGGGCTAAGGATGTAGTTAGGGATTCGAAATCACCAGCGTTATTTGGTTTGGGGCAAACTGAATCGGGGTTTGAGCTTAGAGCAAGGGGAATCGAAAATTTCCTCTGACAAGGTTCCTTCGATTAGTGTTAACAGACTGACGATGGGGGGGGGTGAAGGGAGTCTTAGCCCTAGTTCGAGGTCATTCGCTGCTTCTATGGAGGGCCTTCGATCAGAAATTGTTGGATGGATGCTCTTGGTCCTGATGAGCGAGGTTCAACTAGAGGTAGGGTTTTAAATCGGGGTTCGGATGTGGTAATTTCTCAGTCAAACAGACAGATACTCTCTCTATATAGCTTTTATTGAGTTCTTCTAGGGTTTCATTTTTTTCAACCCGCGAATCAGCTAGGGATCTCTGTGCTCTAGAATCCCTAGTTCTGTTCAGCTTCCATACCATACCGCCATGGACTCGTCCGATTCAATTCAATTTGATATTTATGAGATTTATAGACGATATCGTGGAAAGTTACCGATTCTATTTCAACCCATTTCATGTTTTTTTTTAATTTTTAATTTTTATTTTTATTTTATTTGTTTGATTTAATTGTTCGGTGACAATCGATGTTTGTTTTGAATTAAAGCTCAAGCTTCGGAGCTTATACATGTAATCTTTGATGATGATTGAATAATAAATATTCGAATGCATCTTATCCGAGATTTGCACTTAGTTATTGCCATAGTGAAACAATTCTGTTTTTGGGTCGGTGTGATTGTTGAAAACAAGATACGATTTTGAGCAATAAAGACCATCTATTTAGAAGGAAGGATGTATTGGATTTAAGTAAAACACACTAATGATTTAACAAAACGATTAAGAAGAATGTTGGTTCTGTTTATAGGAAAATCAATGGAATTCTTTTTTTTATGATTTAATAAATTTGTACAAATCTAGCCATAGATGGAGATGATTAATGAGAAATGATTTTTGTTGTCAACCCTTAGTAATTGTGATAATAGGCTTTCTTAGATTGAATTGTTTAAGTTGATCAAGAAATTAGTCAAATATTTAGAGCTTGACTGTACATTTAAGAAGTTTGAATGGTGTGCATGTTGTTTCCTTTTATATGTAGGACAAATTCGCATTCATCATTATGTGTAGGGATTGTTTATCCTGAATTGGCTATATTGATGCCTATGACACTTAGTATTCTTTGGCTCAATAAGAATTTATAATTCTATGCAGTGAAATGGGTGCACTAAAGACACTCAATAAATTAATAATATAGCATGTACATGTAGTAGTTTATAAGAAATAATGATGTTTGATGCATAAGTTTTTCTGAACACTGCATCTTACATGATTACTGTGTCACTCAATCAATCCTATTTAGTTTATGTGCACCTGTCGTCCATGGGTATCTCTTTTGATAGATTCAATTTATAGCCGTCTTTTGCAGACATTACATCAGGTGCACATGCTTGTGGGGAGGAAGGCCACAGACCATGTGATGAATCACAGAAAGGCAATTTATCAAGAGAGGCATTGAGTCATCTCTTGAAATTGGTGGAGTCAAGGGTGCATACAAGGTATGTCTGTGCAACATTGTGGAAACATGGAGGCTGATGAAGCTCAAAATTTAAAGTTGGACAGTTTAGGTGTGGTTTGACCAACTCAAGTTTCAAATGAGTTTTACAGGTTCAATTACTTTGGATTCATGATAGTTGATTTGAGTTCTCTGGTTAGGCTTGCAATAATAACTTTGAGATTACTATTTTTGAAAACCATTTAATTTAATTTTTATTTTTTTGCCCCAATGGGAGAGGTTTATTGAAATTAGTGTTGATAAGGTGGTGGATGGGGACAAATATTTGAAGTTTGATGGAATTTTTTGAATATTTATTTTTCTTTTCTTTTTGGCAGTAGGGAAAATTTAGCTTCAGCGTGAAGAAAATTTATAGTTTTTATTTTAAACATACAACTAGCCAGTATTTATTGGGGGGGGGGTTGTATCACATGAAATAAATCATGTAAGATGCAGTGTTCAAAGTAAATAAATCATGTAAGATGCAAGCCTAACCAGAGAACTCAAATCAACTATCATGAATCCAAAGTAATTGAACCTGTAAAACTCATTTGAAACTTGAGTTGGTCAAACCACACCTAAACTGTCCAACTTTAAATTTGAGTTTAATTTTTTTTGTTTGAAGATTGTTATGAATTGTTTTACAAATTGTATGGTTTGGAAATGAACTCATCAAAAATAGTTTATGCACTTGTCATTCTGTAGTTGGTTTGATCTTGTTAAAAAAACGGTTAATTTCTCTGTTGGCCCTTTACTTGGAGTATGAGTTCATTGAAATAGGATGTTGATTAATTTATGCAGCATTTATAGTTACATCATTTATAGTTTATGCATCATTTATAGTTACATTTCTAATGGTTTATGAGTTCTCTTATCTGTTGACTTATTAAAGTTTCCCTCATCAGATGGGCAATCCTTGGGAAATTGAAGACATGATGTCTCTTGATAGAATTTCATTAAAGTTCACTAAAAAAGGTTGAAAAGGTCTGGATTCATATTTGTCTGGAATTTCATTCCCTATTGATAGAATGTTCTTTGCATTTCTTCACTTAACTTTCATGAGTTCCAGTGTGAATAAAATTACTTACTAGTGATTACTGCAACCCTGCATTTTTATTAGATTTTCTATGTTTTATACCCTAGAGATGAGTCAAGTGAGGGCAAGACTCTAAGGTTGAAGCAACAGTATACACTTTGCTCTGCTTCTCTCCAAGATATTATTGCACGACTTGAGATGAGATCTGGTGAACCAGTGAACTGGGATGCCTTTCCCAACAAGGTTGCAGTACAAATGAATGATACTCACCCAACACTCTGCATCCCGGAGCTGAAATCTCATATTGATGGATGTGAAAGGTTTGAGCTGGAAGGAAGCTTGGGAGATAACTAAAAGGTACCTTCTTCATGGCTGTAGCTTTGATTTGACATTATGTAATAGTATACATGTTAACTTTCTTTGCATTGTTTCACTGAACTCACATGCACCTGTGTTCTAAATCCTTCTTAGACAACATCGAATTGAACTGCCATTTTCCATTGAGTTTTCTTGCGCCCTTCAGTTAGCTTTTACTTGTTCAGCCTGTTAATAGGGGTCTGGGAGGGGTGGACTGTATACAGACCAAACCTCTGACCACTATGTACATAGTGGCTGCCCTTTAATTCGAATCCACAACCTCAAGGTTGTTTGGCTGAATGTTAACCACTCAAGCAGTGGGCTGCCCTTACAGTGTCTGCTTAAAATGGTTGTAATTGCATAATTCCCTTAAAATGTTTGTAACCAGTGGGCTACCCTTGCTGTAAATGGTGTTGCTGAGATTCACAGTGAGATAGTGAAAAGGGAAGTTTTTAATGACTTTTACAAGGTAACTAGGTCAGTAAGCAATTTTATTGTCCTTCTCTATATCTTACAATAATGGAACTAAAGTACATCACTTAAAGTTCTGAAGGTGCCAAATGTTCTTAACAGTAATTTTTCTGCATGTTGGTTTTTGGCAGTTGTGGCCTGAGAAATTTCAAAATAAAACAAATGGAGTGACACCAAGAAGGTGGATTCGTTTTTGCAATCCACATCTAAGTAAAATCATAACCAAGTGGACGGGAACAGAAGACTGGTTGATAAACACTGAGAAGTTGGTAGATCTTCGAAAGGTAGACTGAAGCATCCAAATCAGATATTTGTTAATTGTTTCAATACCTTCAACATTCATTCCAAATCAATAAATTGGATCATTATCACAAGAACATGTCCCACTAAGTGAAAAATTTTGGTCACTGCGTGCTTGATAAAAATATAATCCATCCAGAAACTATCAGAAATTAACAAGGCATTTTGGATAACACCTGCTATCTAGTCTTCCCTGACTTTGTATGGTGTAAAAGATGTCAGATTTTAATTCTATGGACTTCTAGGTGCCATTTTTTCTCGTGTACTTCTTTGATTGAGTCCCATCGTGCACATATATACTTCTTTCTATAATTACTTTTAGATACAAGTCAAACATTTCTTGTGATAGCATGATTAGTTTGAGTTAATTACCTGCAGTTTGTTGATAATGAGGAGCTTCAATCAGAATGGAGGGAAGCAAAAAGGAGCAACAAGATGAAGGTTGTGTCCTTTCTCAAAGAAAAAATCGGATATATTGTCAACCCTGATGCAATGTTTGATGTGCAGGTTATTTCCTATCACATAATTCTTTTTTAATTAATTTTAGGTTCATTACTTTAATGGAAAATAATATATTGTATGAGGAGGATATTATACTGTTGATGGAGGGATGCATCATTATGACCATATAAATAGGATGTATATAATGTACACTGTATCTATCTGTTTGATGTATATAATGTACACTGTATCTACATATATACTGTTTGATGTGCAGGTACTGATGGTGTTCGAATTGGAATGTAGTTCTATAAATAGGATGTATATAATGTACACTGTATTGATGAAACTTAATGTTTAATTTTGATGGGTTGATGACTTTCCAGGTCAGTTTTGTAAATTCGATTGCGACAATTAAGGGTGGGACTCATGTTGATTATGTTACCAACCAGATTACAAACTATGTAATGAGTATTGGTAATAAAAAGAATAAGAATGCTAATCTCAAAGCCCACGCATTGAAGATCCATCTATGGGTTTTTGTCATGCTCTTATTGACAACCTAGCTTTTGATTTTCAAACCAAAGAGACTTTGACAATTCGCCAAAGCAGTTTTGGGTCAAAATGTGAACTTTCACAGGAGTTCCTGAAGAAAGGTTTGTTCTATTATTTTGAAATCTTTATTATTATTATTATTATAAATTTCAAAAAAGAAAAGTTGTTTACTCCTTTTGTGAGCGTAATTTTGAAGCTTTTGTGGTCAATTCTCCTGTAGTGTCCAAGTCTGGAATAGTGGAAATTCTTATTATGTTTCTATTCCTAAAGTATAAAAGGAAAGAGAATTAGAAATGGATATATTCATGAAATGGTACTCTTTTTCCTCCTTTTTTGGTTATATGCACCAACATTTACACATCTCTTGCCAAATTGAATTATATATTATATGATTAATTGTGCAGATCTTGAGAGAGTACATGGATTTACTTTTGGGGACAGTCTTGATGATAGTAAGAAAAGCAAGTGGCACTTGCGGTAAGTTGTCTAGCTATTTAAGTAGTTTCAGTTGAGTTTGGTTTTGTTTTAGAGTTTTTAACTGATTTGAGTATATACAGATGGCAGGAATTTCTGTTGTGGGTCGAAAGTATTATGGTGTGTTCCCGTTGAGAGGTAAATTGCTTACTGTGAGGAAAGCAAGCCATAAACAGATCATGGAGAAAGCTGAAATTCAGAGCATCAAGCAGATTCTTGGACTTCAGCATGGAAAACAGTATGACAGTGTGAAGACTTTGAGATATGGTCATTTGATGATCATGACTGATCAGGTTTTTTCTATGCAACACACATGCACGTAGATATGTTTTTATTCTTTTATTGCATTTTTATGCATTAATAAGCTGTTTAAAGTACCACTTAATGATTTTTTTTTGCATTTTGACTCTAGACCTTGGGTATTTCAATTCCAGAATTTCTATACATAAATATCTATAAATTTTCTGAAACTAAGGTGACTTATGTGTGGGCATGTGTGCATCCATCTATTCATTCCTCCTGTAATCTTTCCTATTCATTTTTTGATATGTACAGGTAAAGCATAGTAGAACATCATCCCCATCTTCATATGAGAAGGACTTTTGTGAATTGGTAGATATATATACCAGAAAGAAAAGGCCTGATAAAAAGAAGCATAATGTGATGTTACAAGATCTAGAGCATGATTCAGATAGCTCCAGTAACACTTCAAATGATAGCGTATTTGAGGCAGATAGAATGTCCCCGAGCTTTCTGGACAATATTGTGGATGATTCCTTTTCTGAAAATGATGATGATGTAAGTTCATCAAAGGCAAATCAGTCAACTGCTTCAAATGAGAAAAGTTGTCAGTTGAATATCTAGAAGATGAGTGTGATCTTTTAATGGGTGTAGATGATTTGGATGGTAATATTTCATCAACTTTTCTAGAATGTTCTTCTATCGTTTTATGTTGTATTTGTTGGTCTTAAATATATATATATATATATATATATATAATTTCTCTTATGGAGAATGATATTTACCATCGGATGTATTTCACCTCCCACGTGCATCCATACAATAAACTGCATGTGTATGCGTTGGGCCCACCATATTTAAAAAATAATGACCCACCATGACACATGGGAAACCACACCAGAGGTGAAGTGTTTTGGTGATATATAACAGTCCTCTTTGTCTAAATAGGTAGAATTTGATGGCAAATCACAAATGAAACCATGAAATGATTTCTTCGTGGATGCTTTCTCCGATTCTTACTCAAAGGAAGAGGGGACAAATAAAGAGAAGAGACAAGAAAAGAGAATGAAATTCTTTAAAATTTTAATCAATTTGTTTAGTGGCTGAATTGGAGAGATATGACAAGGAAGAGGGGCTCATCTATATTCAACATGTATTAGTACCTTTGGGTGAATTTTTTTGCTTATTTGTGAATCTTCCAAATCGCCTCACTTTTTGCGGCAATTAGTCTTTGTGGACCTAGAGAAATACATGTTTCTTCTAGTGACTCTAGTCACTTCATTTATCTTATTACTCTTCTAATTGTCCAATCCATGGTAAAGTGGGGATCTTTGAAAAATTATTCTCTTCTTCCCCGGACTGAAGAATGTGTTCCTATAATTCTTTTTCTCTTACA